TGGGAAAAATGAGGTTAGAGCACACCACTCAAAAACTTTATTAGTAACACAGGAAAATAAAGATAGGAACCTAATAAAAATGGCAGTGAAGTTTTACACGTGCTACATGTTTAAGAAAATACTTAAATACTATAATAAATATGGCCTTTTACCTTGAAAAGGACCTGCAGTTTGCTAGTGGAAGTGGACATTGGAAGGGTTTAAGCTTATGAGTTATTGGGAAGTGTTGGAAAGAAGGTTATTGGACTGAAAGTTGTAACACTAGATCTGCTCATAAAACAGGCAGTTAAGTAGCAAGGGGATACTGCATGTTTAAAATCAAGAAAGGTGTTTGTCAGGGTTGCGTTCTTTCACCATACTTATTCAGTCTGTATGCTGAGCAAATAACCCAAGAAGCTGGACTATATGAAGAAGAATGTGGCATCAGGATTGGCAGAAGACTCATTAACAACCTGCAGTATGCAGATGACATAACCTTGCTTGCTGAAGGTGAGGAGGACTTGAAGCACTTACTGGTGAAGATCAAAAACTACAGCCCTCAGTATGGATTACACCTCAACATAAAGAAAACAGAAATCCTCACGGCTGGGCCAATAAGCAACATCATGATAAATGGAGAAAGATTGACATTGTCAAGGAATTTTTTTTACTTGGATCCACAGTCAACGCTCGTGGAAGCAGCAGTCAGGAAATCAAATGATATATTGCATTGAGCAAACCTGCTGCAAAAGACTGCTTTAAAATAAAAAGCAAAGATGTCACTTTGAGGACTAAGTGCCCCTGACCGAAGCCATGTTATTTTCCATCACCTCATATGCCTGCATAAGCTCAGCAATGAATACAGAAGACCGAAGAAGAATTGATGCCTTTGAATTATGGTGTTGGCGAAGAATATTGAATATACCATGGACTGCCAGAAGAATGAACAAGCCTGTCTTGGAAGAAGTACAGCCAGAGTGCTTCTTGGAGGAGAGGATGGTGAGACTTCATCTCATGTACTTTGGACATGTTATCAGGAGAGATCAGTCCCTGGGGAAGAACATCATGCTTGGTAAAGTAGAGGGTCGACAAAAAAGAGTAAGACTCTCGACACAATGGATTGACACAGTGGCTGCAACCGTGGGCTCAAACATAGCAAGGACTGTGAGATGGCACAGGACCAGGCAGTGTTTCATTCTGTTGTACATGGGGTTGCCGTGAATCAGAACCAACCTGATGGCACCTAATAACAACAACACAGCAGCTGGTAGATGTGTGAGCTGTGTGTGGGTGTGCGTTTTGTTTCTTCCTATGTGACTGGATTCCATTGGGTACAGTTTTCTGTGCTCACCTAGAATTTCTTGCAGGAAAACTGTGTAAGCAAACGTAGAGTTTGCATTATGCTCAAATTGTTCCCTGATACATCAGTTACATTGGAGCACAAGGGTTTTCAAAACAAGCAGCATATCAAAATTGATGATACTCTTGGTCTTGATTTTGAGGCCCTTAAAAAAAAAAAAAAAAGAACACTAATGGAATATGGAAAAGGATGACAAGTTGTAGGAAGAAAATATATGCTTTATAAGTAAGGACAGGACAATGTAAGGAAAAACGGAATGCCTTGTTTATGCAGGGGACAAACTTTGGGAGAATTGAGGAAAGACTGGGAATCATTGTGTTCCCTGCCCTTCTGATCCTGAGCAGTCACCCTTCCTGACCAAGTCACCCTTGGTCATGGCTTGATACTTAACAGTGACCAGCCATCTCCTGCAGTGTCAAGTGCTGTATCCATTAAAAGAATCCTGGAGCCCTAGTGGTTCAGTGGTTAAGTGTTTGACTGCAACCAAAAAGTCTGCAGTTCGAATCCACCAGCTGCTACTTGGAAGCCGTATGGGTTAGTTCTGCTCTGTCCTGTAGAGTTGCTATGAGTCGGAATTGACTCGATGGCAACAGGTTAAATACATTGACAGAGATGGCTTTGTGGGAATTATTTTAAACGAGGCTCGTCTTTTTAATTTACATTGCTTTCATTTATTGGGACTGGCTGTTCATTTGACTCATGTTTTTAGTTTCAGTGAATGATTTAGAAATACTGGTATCTTTTTAAAAATATAATTTGACAAATACATTTACACAAGAGCAATGAAGGTGGACAATCCTATCAGGTAGTGGAAAATTACCACTTTTAACAGTTAAGGCTAGTGTTGATATTCTAATTTGTCACACTTTTCATTTATTTTAATTACAAAATGCAGTTATTGCCTGAAATACCTGCTTTTGATGAAATGAGTAGAGAACAATACACTGATTTTTCTCTTTGATAAGTATGTTGTTTTATAGGAGGTGGCGGGAATTTTTTTTTTTTTTTAAATTGTCTGTAAAATCTCAATCCTCAGATTTTGTGTTTTATAGAAATCTGTAGTGATATTGAGTAAACATAATTTAAAATACATCGTTAATACATTTTGAAATGTAATGTTTTAGAAAATGAACTATGCATGTTTTTTAAAATGTATAACTTACAAGTCAGATTTTCGGAATATTCAGTACATCAAAACAAGTAAATAAAATGTCGATAGGACTTTTTTGTTCACTTTATATTACAGTTAGACATATGTAGTGGGGAAAGATAGTTTTTTCATTCAAGAATGTTATCCTTAAAGGTTTTGTATGAACTTTCATATCAGTTTGATATCATAACATTAAGCAAAAGAAACATTGTAGTGAATATATTTGAAGAAGTAAAAGACCATAAATGTATACATATTTTATACTGGTTTTGGGGAGTAATCATTTAGCTAAGATAGAATTGTAAGATTTTTATGTATTTATTTTGTTAGTTTCACTTTAAAAACTTGCAAGCATAAAAGTGTTTGGACAGTAAAAATGTCAATCTAATTGAAGTAGCATCCACTTTTGTGAAAAAGAATGTTTGGGCTTCTTTTAATTATGCATTGTTTAAATGTCCCCCGTTGCCCTGCATCCTCTTCTGATGGGCACTCATATTAAATATCTCTTTAGTGTTCAAAAAGTCAGAGTGGTACCTTACCCTCTGGTCATTGCAGGGTTATGTTATTGTAATTTAAAGCTTCATGAGTATTAGGATTAGAGTCAGCTATATTCCTCCCAGGCAAGATGACACATAATAGGGAAATAATACAGTATTTAGGGGGTTGTTTGTTTTCTTTTTGCAATATTGGTTTTTATGAAAGGAATTGTTTATTTCTGTATGTTTACCACAACTTCTTCTAGCCTTTTTATACTCCTTCCTTCCATGGGTGACTTTATACCCACCAGTGTTTTATGCTCCGTTAGAACATCAGGATTTACATACTTGCATACATTCACAATGTTCATCAGATTTTAGTACTTCAGTATTTTCTGCTTATCTCCAGAGGCTATAATTTACTTATTCTGTTATCTACTTATTGTGTATTACATAAACCCATCCCACAAGAGGCTCTAGGTTTCCACTGTTGCACTTTTTTAAACCAACAGGTAAGAAAGTCAGTTTGCAGACTTTTTATGTAGTGAAAATACCGCCACGCGTAATGACGTAGACTCACTGATTCTTTACAGTATTCACCTACTGGATGTCTGTATAAAAACAAAACCACCTACAAAAAGCTGGTTATTTCGTACTCCTATCTGCTTATTAGACCAATTAATTGAAGGAATAACAGACATACTAACATTGTATTCTATTAATCATTCTACTGTTACAATATTTAATATGCAGTTTTTTTTTTTTAAAAACTGTATCTGTATTTTTTTTCTTTTATATAGTTTTAGTTTTACTTAATGGATAAAGCTCAGAGTACCGAGTTACCAATAAAATAATAATAATGAAAGTTATAATTTGGAAATTATAGAAACTAAAGTATATAAAGTTTGAGAGAAAATTGCTGCCTTGTGGTTATAGACTTCCCACAATACAGAGCACTTGTAATAAGTGTGTGTAAAAAATCTTTAAAATTAACAAAGCAGTATTCAGTACAGTATCTTGAAATTTTTCTTCATAATGGAAGTAAGTTTTCTAAGGTCAGGCCAGCCAACGATAGATCTTTTTCACGTCCATGCTTTATGGTTTTTGACCCAATGAAAAAGATTACCGACTCCCTAATGGTGATGTGTGTTGTTTGTTTTATGTACTGATGTATAGGGTATATTATTTTGGGCATCTGATGTTTTTTGGTTTTGAGAGATGGGGTTTTTGTTGTTGTTATTGTTTTTCCCCTTCCTCTCATTTCAACAAGATAATCTCATCATTTAACCTAAAAAGAATAATATTTCTCAAGCAGAGGTCTCATTCTTCAGAAATAGTCATCCTATAATTTAAAGCAGTTTTTTTTTTCCTAGTAAGCTTACCAAGTAGATTTTTTCTTTGTTTCTACATTTCGTTTACTTAGGATTTTTAATTCCCCCTCAGATCCCATTTTTCTAAAACATATCTTCCTCAAGTACCACACAGAAAAACTCCAGTGTATTATTTATATATTTTTTGTAAAACAGAAACATCATAAATTATTACTTTTCCCATGTACCTTCTAGTTTTTAATGTGCTGATGCCTGTATAGTAGAACTGTTTAGTATTGGTTGTTTTCTCCATATATGAATTTGGCATTACTAAATTGGGCCAAAAAGTAATAGAGGTAGGTAGATACTCATCCTTATTTTTCATGGCCCACCTGTGAAATGCAGAGCGCAATAGTTGTGAGCCAGATCAACTTACACTGTTTATAAAATAGTGAGAAGCAAGGGTTGAGGTCTCACTGAGGGGAGTGAGTTCAGCTGTGTTGTAAAACTAAAAGTAGCATATATCCACACACACATACACAGCAGACAGTAGAAAAGGTGTATTCAGGAATCTGAACAGGTCCAGGGTTTTAGATTTGGTCTCCTTTGTTACTAACTTAAATGTTAAAGTAAAGAAATGGGTATTTTACAACCAGAGTATTAGAAAAGCATTCACGATTATAGAAGTGCCAACATGTTCTCTTTGTCTCTTACTCTTCTTTCAGCCATAATGAAAGGAAAGTGACCTGCAAACATCCAGTCACAGGACAGCCATCACAGGACAATTGTATTTTTGTAGTGAATGAACAGTAAGTAAAGAGTTTCATGGAATGTCTGTATTCGAGATGGGGATTAGCATTGGGATTGCTGTTATCCATATTTAATACAGTACAATTTAACAAGTTTTCCTATCTGGACATTTACATTCAAGTCTGATAACGGAATGACAACTGTTCATGTGGTAGAGAAACATGACATAAATTTTTTCTTCCTGAGGGATATAATTTCAGAAGCATTTTTACAACACAGATGATAAGCTCAGGGTCAGAGCAACTGTCAAGTTGGTCAAATTATTCAACTGGAGCTCAGTTTTCTTATCCTTAAATCAGGGATAGTGATAACTACCTTTTCTCAGGATTTTTTTTAAGCATCAGATGAAATACGTGTGAAAATGCTTTATACATTATAAAACTTATTACTTATTAATATCATTGTTACTGTTTTGATATTTGAATAATCATGTAATTCATTTTTAAGTTGCCAGTTGTAAGACCAAGTAGACTATATTTAATAATGCCTGTTAAAATAAACACAACCTATGTTAATTTAGATGCTTAATTTAAACGGTGATTTTTTGTATGATGACACTATCCACATAGCCTAAGTAGATTTTCCCACTTATCTTTGCACTTTTTTTTAGCACGAGTATTGAAAAATTTACAAAAACTGGGTTGAATTTATACAGTTAATATAATATGCTAGAATAATAATTACCATAACTGCTATTTGGTAGTTATGTATATTTGGTATGTTACGTATACCTTATAACGCTATGTAATATTATACTACATATATGTAGCATATACTTCTCTTCCAGACTCATATATTCAATGCTTACTTGACACATCTCTACTTGGATATCTAGTAGGCATCTCAAACTTAATATGGCCAAAACCAAACTCTTATTTCAGCCCTGTGTCCCCATTTCCAACCTACTCTTCCTCCAATCTTCCCTTTTGGCTCCAAATCCAAGAGTCAATCTTGGTTCTTCCCTTCCCTCACCTCACATCCAGTCCATTAACTTCTTGCTCAGTCTCCAAAATCCATCTTGAATCTAATCAATTCCTGCATTCCAGTCCAGTAGCTTCAGAGTTAAGAAAAATTGCAAGGTAGTTCTAGAGTAGAAGACAATTCTGCTTTAAGTGACTCAGCGGTGTTCCATACAAGGAAAAAAGCAGAAGGTAATATTGAAAGCCCAGTCTCCTTTTTTTGTGTGCTTATCAATGTAAAGACATTAAGATTAGAAGGTTAAGATGAATAAGTGGAATACATGAAGTCAGGGAACAGGTGAATCCGGAGGGAGTCAAAGAGGAAAGGAATTTGATTCTTTAGGTTTAGTAACCAGACCAAGAAGGAATGCACCTTTTCTAAGTTTCTTCACTGAATATGCTCAGTTCCCTGTGAGTTGGTTTTGCTTATGGGTGAAAAGCAAAGACTTTGGCTTGTCGCCAATGTAATATAGCTAGTAAATGGTGAGATTACACCCAGGTATAGTTTCTCTTTTCATTATGCAAGTGCTTCTGTGGGCTTCGTTTTTTAAACTGGTACCTGGGCTCTCCTGGGCATATTTTATCTCCTCACATCATGTTTTAACTCACATCAGTTTGACTATGTAAATTATAGTTCTAAATCACATGCTCATATTGACTAAAGAAAACGCTGCACGAGTGCCCTATTTAAAAGTTGTTACATGCATATTAAGTTTACAGTTGACCATTCATGAACTCTTGCCTGGATTAAATACATATCCCAGTTCCTGGCATAGGGAAAGTCCTCAGTAAGTACATGAATTAATGTTATCAACTTATGTTCTTCTTAGAAGTTGTTTGTTATATTTATAGTAGCTGTATATATTAAGTTCTGGCTCTAGAGTAAGTAGCCTCTCACTATTTTGAAAAAGTAGGACACCAGCATTGTTAACTGTAGGGAAACTTTATTATAAAGCAGTTTGTGTACACAGCAGGTTTTAGCATTTTGCTGTATTATATTTTCAGGACCGTTGCAACCATGACGTCTGAAGAAAAAAAGGAACGACCCATAAGTATGATAAATGAAGCGTCTAACTATAGCATGACTTCAGATTATGCTTTGTATCCAGTCAGCCCTGTAGGCAGAGTAAGTTATTTTGCTTACTGTTAATTATTGATAACTGATAGTATCTATTACTGTCACTCTTAATGGGCTAGAGTTAGTTTTTATAAGAAAATCATTTCATTTTAATTATTACTTGAACCTAATTACATTGGAGGTCATTTATATAAGAAACAAGAGCTTGAAATATAAGGTAATAAGATTTAATTAACTTAATAATTTAATGACTTCTTTTTTAATACTGTAGAATTCAGATTTTGATTTTTTTAAAAAAACCAATATAATGAATGTTTTATGAGAGAATAGGCACTTTATTGAATCAACTTAAGTTGTAAAGATGAAGATTAATAGCCTAGGAATCTTATTTTCTGACTCGAAGGCCTAGATTGAGGAGAATTATCAAGTAGTTTAAAATTTAGCCATGATTTTTTTTTAAACATAATTTATATTGTTTTTATGTTTTTTATTATTTAAAAAGATATATATATACCCGTAAAATTCTTTACTGCCAAAGGGAAAGTCTTTATAAAAATATTTCACAACTTCACAAAAATATCTCAGAAGTGCCATGTGGAAATAGAAATGGATTTTTTTGTATAATCAGAAACTAAAATTTTAATTGTTTGGGTAACTATGATTATGGACTTGTATGTCTGTAAGAACTTGTGGTTATTGTTTCTTGTACTTCAAGCACATTCAGATTTAGTATTTTAATGTAAATGTTTTTTAAATTATTGGAAAATTTGCTACTAAATCTGAATAAGTAATTTAAATAACTACCTTAAAGTTGATGCTCAATTTCTGTATTGTGGTATAGCAAAAGAATTGAGCAATAAAGGACTAATCTTTTATTTATTTAAAAAATAAATTGTTTCAGGCAGAACGGAAATAATGAGAATGCTGACACACTGAAAAATGTAACCAGTGTCACTGTACAGATTGTGTAGAAATTGTTAAATGGGAACCTAATATGCTGTGTAAACTCACACCAAAAACACAATCAAATATTTTAACTTTAAGAAAATATTAAAAATTTAAAAATAAAATTTTTACAGTAGTAAAGCAATTGTAATGGTAAATTATGTTTGTTATAAGGAAATCAATAACCGAACTATAATATTTCAAATGCCTGGTTTTTTTTTTTTTAGTAAAATTTTATGTAGTATTACAAGTAAATGTAAATTTTCAAATGATGTAATTTCTAATTCTTATTAAATAATATAAAATGCCAATAGTATAACTGAGTATTATAATGCTTCATTAATGTATTTTATTTAAAATCTAAAGAAATGATAAATGAATTGGGGACTGCTGGGTCAAGAAAGAAACTTAGATCCATGCCTCACTCTGTGCACCAGAAATTTTCCAGCTGGGTCATTTGTTGAAATGTTAAAAACAAAGCTGTAAAAGCACTAGAAAAAACAGTGGAAGATTTTTTTTAAAAAACTTAGAATGGAGATGGATTTTCTAATTATAATATAAAACCCCGGAAGTCAATAGAAAAGAATGACAGATTCAGCCACATAAAATTATCACACATGTAGAATATCTGTAATTCATAAAGCAATTAAAGAAATTCATTCCTTTTTTAATTAAACAACTCCTATGAATCAATAAGAAAAAGAATTACAACCCAGTTTAAAAAGTGAGGAAAGTATTTAATCAGTTCCAGAAAAGAAATGAACATTTTACTTAAACACATAAAAGACACTCAACCTTATTCATAGCATGAAAAACTCACCGTTTTTCACCTATCAGATTTTGAAGATCAGTAAGTTTCATAGCACAGCAAGGTGACAAGAGAGTGTTAACAGGCATTCTCTTTATGTAGTGAGCTCCAAGAAATAGTGGAACAGAAGCATAGGTATTATATATGCAATCATTTGAGAAAGAACAGATATTCCATAACCATGAAAACAATTATTTAGATAGGTAGACAGACAGACACATGGAGTTTGTTGGTGTGGGTAATGGTTCCTGGAGGCCCAGGGCTGAGAAGTAGACTGATCCTTGTATATCTTTTTGTACCATTTGAATTTATACTGTGTTTACACATTATCTGTTCAAAGGTAAATTAAAATTTATCAAAGAAACATATTTCAGGGAAAAAATGTATTGATATTGGGCCTCACAGTTCTATTTTGTACTAATATAAGCTTCACAAAATAAGAATTAATGAAATACGCTAGGTTTCCAGAGATTCTAGATAAGTTGAGAAAATAGGAGATAATTTAATATCACTTACCTTTTATTTTACAGAGAAATTCCAATTCAGCTTCCTTGTTTTTATGTTTATTGGTTATCAGTAACATTTCTGTAGAAATAAATCTTCATGCTAAGCATAGCTGTATTTAAAAGGATTTTATATCCTTATGCTTACTTTTAAGAATACAGTAAACAGCATCTATCTGGTATCATTGAAGTTCAGGGTTGTCCGTAAAGAAGAAGACACTACATGACATTAAGGGGATCTTTCTAGTCTTGTTTTGACTTGTGATATGTTTATGTTTCATATCCTAGTATTTCTCATCTGGCTTAATGCCGTTAACTTTCTTTAATTGAAACAACGCTGTTAAATGCAGATAGAAAGCAAAAAGTTCTGTCGTTTATTTTTAAAGATTTGTTCATTTTTACTCAAGGTTCATTCATTTTGTGGCAGGTAGGACAAAATACTGCCACACTCTCTGCCTTTTGTAAAAATTGGAAATCCAGATTTTAGAGGAAAGATGTGAAACTTGTGATCCTTTTGTAATATTGTAGAGGAAGAAGTCTGTGCAGAATTCTTACACTTGAGACAACTAAGCCAGTAGTAGTGGAGTTGTAATGATTTATCTGACAAGATTATAGCCTGCAGGTCTCAGGGAAATCTGAGTAGACATTAAAATTATGAAGATGAGAAGTAAGCTCAACTCTCCAGGCATTAATGACACATTTTCTATCCTGCTTTTTTCTGTTTAGACATCACGGGCTTCGAAAAAAGTTCATAATTTTGGAAAGAGATCAAACTCAATTAAAAGGAATCCTAATGCACCGGTGGTGAGACGAGGTTGGCTTTACAAACAGGTACGTTTTCCCCCCCATATGATATGAAACAAAGGACAGAATCAAAAAGAACCTTTTAAGCTGAATGTATCTAAGACAATAATATAAAATGGAGAAAGAACTGTAATATAGTCACACAGATTCTTTTACTGCTTATTTTCTGTGAAGACTTTTAGAGGAACAGTGAAGACAGAAAAGGGAGTGGACATTACTTAGAACAGAAATTGCCTGTGGGTGTTTGTTTGGGTTTTGCTCATCTTGCAGAAAAGAATGCCTATTTGGCAGCTCTTTCTAACTAATTTAATTCATAAAAATCAGGCTCAAGCAGAGTTACAATTTTAATAAAAACTATTTTTCCTTGTTTCTAGATTTAAAATTAAATATATACTATATGCAAATATTAGGAAAAGGATGCTAAAATTATCCAGATAGAAGTATTATAAAAAATTTCAAAATGAAAAAAAATACAAGGGTATTGTTCATTTTTCTACTTATGCAAAAAGCCATCACAAAAATGTATTATTGTATACTTTTCTTCCTTTATTTATAGAGAAGTCTTATCATAGTTTGATCTTTTTCTAATAATGCATCACTGGTATTTCTCAGTGATTATATTTTCCTAGAATCCAGAAACTACTATTGGCTTCTGTACTCTCACACTACTCACTTTTTCTCTTAAGTTTTTATATTGTTTGTTTATTTGATTTTACTTTTTCTTTTCTTATGAGACTGTTTGTTCAGGCAGGATTCACATTGTTTATATTGACTGGAAAACCTGATAAATAAGCTTTTTTGGAACCTCATCATTATTTTTGTATGTATGTAAGGATGTATGTACATTATCCCCTTGGACTTTATAACATCTCTTTTGACTCCTTGGGGGCTATTGTTTTCTTTTTTACTTTCTAACTTACAACTGGAGTAATCAGAAAACTGAGATGGTTCACTTGGCATTAAGGGCCTTTATCTGTCTTCTTCTGTCTCTGCTCGTGCATATGTACAGATGATACAGAACAAGTTAAATATTAGTTCATTGGTATTGCTAACTTATTCTGTTAAATACTTCTAATTGTTCTCAGATAACTTAATAATTCTTATTCATTAAAAATCATAATGAAATCTGTCAGAAGAGATAAAGATGGCTTTATATAGTGATAAAAGAGTTAATCGAGAAGATTTAACAATCACAAATGTGTATATGCACTCAACATTGGGGCACCTAAGTATATAAAGCAAACACAGATAGGATTGAAGGGAGAAATAGATAGTACTACAGTAATAGTTGGAGATGTCAATATACCACTTTCAATATTGGACAGAACATCTAGAAAGAAGATCAACAAGGAAACAGAGAATCTGAATGACAGTATGAACTAACTAGACTTAACAGACCTACATAGAATGCTTCACCCCAAAACAGCGCAAGATACATTCAACTCCAGTGCACATGACATGGATCATTCTCCAGGATAGACCACATTTTAGATCATAAAGCAAGTTTTGGTAAATTTAAAAAGTTTGAAATCAGAGAGAAAGTATTTTCTCTGACTACAACAGAATAAGGCTACAAATTAGTAACAGAAAAAAACTTGATGGGATGCAGCGAAGGCAGTACTCAGAGGAAAACTTACAGCCATAAATGCCTACATGAAGAAAGAAGAAAGATCTCAGATCATCAGTCTAACTTGACAGCTCCAGGAACTAGAAAGAGAAGAGCAAACTAAGCCTAAACCTACAAGAAGAAAGGAAATAACAAAGATCAGATCGGAAATAAATAAAATTGAAAACAGAAAAGCAGTAGAGTCAATAAAACCAGATATTAATTCTTTGAAAAGATCAATAAAATTGACAAACCTTTAGCTAGACTGACAAAGAAAAGAAGAGAAAAAGTGCAAATAACCAAAATTTAAAAAATGAAAGAGGGGACATTACAACTGACCCAACAGAAATAAAGAGAATTATGACAGAATATTATGAACAACTGTATGGCAACAAACTGGATAACCTAAATGAAAGGGACAAATTCTTAGAAGCACACAACCTACATAAACTGACTCAAGAGGAAATAGAAAGCCTTAACAAACCAATACCAAGTGAAAAGATTGAATCAGTGCTCAAAAATCTCCCAATAACAAAAAGTCCTGGACCTGATGGCTTTACTGGGGAATTCTATAAAACACTTAGAAAAGAATTGACATCAATACTGTTTAAACTCTTCCAAAAGATAGAGAAGGAAGGAATACTCCCTAATTCATTCTATAAAGCAAACATAACCCTGATAGGCAAACCAGACAAAGAGACCACAAGAAAAAAACTACAGGCCAATATCTTTTATGAATATAGATACAAAAATCCTCAACAAGATACTAGCAAACAGAATCCAACAACATATTAAAAAGAGTCATACACCATGTCCAACTGGGATTTATTCCAGGAATCAATCAGTGTAATACACTACGTCAATAGAACAAAGGAAAAGAACCACATGATCATCTCTGTGGATGCAAAAAAAGCATCTGATAAAATCCAACACCCTTTCTTGATGAAAACCCTAAAGATGATTGGAATAGAAGGGAAAGTCCTCAATATGATTCAGGGCAAATATGAAAAACCAACATCCAACATTATACTTAATGGAGATAGACTGAAAGCTGTCCCCTTTCAGTTGGGAACAAGACAAGGGTACCCACTCTCACCACTTCTATTCAATATTGTATTATAAGTCCTAGCCAGAGTACTAAGACAAGAAAAAGAAATAAAAGATTCCCAGGTTGGAAAAGGAGTAGTAAAATTATCTCTATTTGTAGATGATAGGATCCTATGTATACAAAATCCCAAAGAGTCCACAAGAGAACTTCTAGAGCTAATAGAGGAATTTAGCAAAGTTGGAGGGTACGTGGTCAGTAAACAAAAATTGGTTGGGTTACTATATATTAGCAATGAGAAATCTGAAAAGGAAATTAGGGAAACAATTCCATTTACAATAGCATCTGAGAGAATAAAACACCTAGGAATAAATCTAACCAGGAACATGAAAGACTTATACAATGAAAATTATAAAACGCTGCTGAAATAGATTTAAGAAGACTTAAATAAATGCAAAGAGGTTCCATGTTCATGGATTGGAAGACTTAATATTGTTAAGATGTCAGTACTACCCAAAGCGATTTATACATTCAATGCAATCCTGATCAAAATTCAAACAGCCTTCTTTACAGAAATAGAAAAACCAGTCAACTTTATATTGAATGTCAAGAGGCCCCAAATAGCCAACACAATGTTGAAAGACAAGAACAAAGTAGGACTCACACTTCCTGATTTTAAAACACACTATACAGTTACAGTAGTCGAAACATCCTGGTACTGGTATAACAATAGACACATAGACCAGTGGAATACAATTGAGAAGGCAGTGGTCAACTGATTTTTGATGAGGATGCTAGGTCCATGCAAGGGGGAAAGAAGAGTCTCTTCAATAAATGGTACTGGGAAAATTGGATTTCCACATGGAGACAAATGCAGGAGGATCCATGCCTCACACCATATACAAAAACAAATTCAAAATGGATTAAGGACCTAAATGTACAAACTAAAACCGTAAAATTCTTAGAAGAACAAGAAGGGGAAACACTGTCGGGCCTAGCTTTCAACAATGGATTATCTAATATAATAACAAAGGCACAAAGAGCAAAAGAAAAATAAATAAATGGGACCTATAAAAATTAAAAACTTTTTTTCATCAAAAGACTTTACCAAAAAAGTGAAAAGACAAGATGTGGGAGAATATTTTCAAAAACCGTATATCTGACAAGAACCTAATAACCAAAATACACATAAAACTTGAACACCTTAACAACAAAAAGACAAATAAATCAATCATAAAATGAGCAAAGGACTTGAATAAACATTTCACCAAAGAGAACATTCACATGGCCACCAGATACGTGAAAAGATGCTCGGCGTTATTAGCCATCAGAGAAATGCATATCAAAACCAACTGAGATACCATTTCACTTCCACTAGGATGGCTAAGATAAAACACACAAACACAAAATAACAAATGTTGGTGAGGATGTGGGGAAATTGAAACTCTTATCCTTTGCTAGTGGGAATACAAAATGGTACAGCCTTTGTGGAAAACATAGAACTACCATATGACCCAGCAATTCCACTTCTAGGTATACACCCAAAAGGCTTGAAAGCAGAGATTGAAATAGAGACTTGTACACCAGTATTCACTGCAGCACTAATCACAATAGCCAGAAGGTGGAAACAACTTAAATGCCCATCAACAAATGAATGGATAAACAAAACGTGATGCATACAGGCAATGGAATACTACTCAGCCAGTAGGAGAAGTGAAGTGTTGATACATGCTACAGTGTGGATGGAGCTTGAAGACATTATGCTGAGCAAAATAAGCCAATCACAAAAGGACAAATATTATTTGACCTCACTTATATAAAAAGACAAGAAAAGACAAATGAGACCAGTTTATTAGTGGTTACCAGGGGCAGAAGGGAGGGGTAATAGGGGGCTAACGGTGATGGACAAATTGCATTGATTAAGGGTAGGGTTGCACAGCCAATTATTGTAATTGCTGTCAATAAGTTCTCCATATATAAAAACTTGTATTGGCAAAAGTCGTGTGATAGATATATTTACTACAATAATGAGAAAAATGAGTAGCTGCTGAGGCTGCTTGTTTACAACCAAACACCTCATGGGATTTGGTTCCTTGGTTTGAAGGTTTAAGGTCATGGTTTCATGGGACATCCCAGCTAATTGATTTAATAACGTTTAGTGCTTCTGTTTTTACCACCTCGTTAGTTGCGTAGTGCCTGGGGCCTTAAAAGCTTGCAGGCAGCCATCCAAGGCACAACAGTTGGTCTCTAATCACCTGGAGCAACAGAGGAAGAAGGAGAGTCAGGAATAGGAGGAGGATATGGAATGTGTGTCTGATTGCCTCCATGAACAACTGCCTCCTTTGCCATGAGACCAGAACTGGATAATATCTGGCTACCATTACTGAACATTTTGATCGAAGATTCCATAAAAGAATCCTGATCAATAGGGGGAAAATGTAGAGCAGAATTGCAGATTTTCATGGACTGTAGACTTTCCAGAGCCATGGAGGCTGGTGAACCCCTGAAGCTATTGCTCTAAGATAATCTTTAAACCTTAAACCAAAAATATCCCTTGAAGTCATCTTAAAACTAAACAATAGTTTAGCTTAACTAGTGAAAAAGACCTACCTTGAGCATTGTGCTCTTTTAAGGTCTGTCTTTATGGGATCAAACTGACAATAGCAACATGAAAGATTAAATTGGAACCTTAGGGGGCAGTGAATTGATGTTACTGAGGAAGGAACAACTCAGAAAAGGAGAATGAGGATGGTTGCACAACTCAAAGAATGTAATCAGTGTTACTAAATTGTACATATAAAAACTGTTGATTGGTTTATGTTTTGCTGTGTATACTCTAAATAACCACAACAAAATAAAATCTAGGGAAAAAAAAAACTCATAATGAATTGTTACGGTACATTCATTAAAGATTGTTGTGTCTGAAAATGAGTGAGAGCCAAACTAATGTGTTTGAAGAGGACTGCCATCTATACTTGAGCCATGGTGGTGCAGTGTTTAAGAGCTCAGGCTGCTAACCGAAAGGTCAGCAGTTCAAATCCACTAGCCACTCCTTGGAAACACTGTGGGGCAGCTGTACCCTGTCCTATGGGGTCGCCATACTACGAGTCAGAATCGACTTGATGGCAACGAGTTTGGGTTTTTGGTATCATTTATTCTGGAGCCCTGGTGGCACAGTGGTTAAGAGCTCAGCTGCTAACAAAAAGGTCGGTAGTTCAAATCCACTAGCTCCTTGGAAACCCAATGGGGCAGTTCTGCTCTGTCCTGTAGGGTCGCTATAAGTCAGAAATGACTCGATGGCAATGAGATCATCTATACTAAAAAAAGAATGTAGGTAAGAAATGAAAAATACCATATACCATTTAATTTTTTATCCTTTCCTTGGTGTGGCTGTCAATTTTAGGGACAAATCTTTCACTTAGAGAGATTTTTTACCCATACAATTTCTGTAGTTCTAAAACCATTATTATAGTCACAACTAGAAATAAATTAAACCATATTAATCAGTCTACATCCAAACTGGCCTTTTTTTTTGTTTGTTTGTTTTAATATTTAGTTTTCTCTTGCAATTTTGCTTTATTTCATGGGAGAAGGTAATTTTTACTAACAGTGTAATTTTGTTTGAGCTTGATTTTTATGAACTAAATTAGTTAGAAAGAGCTGCCAAATAGGCACTGTCTTCTGCAAGATGGGCAAACCAAACTGTGTACATAAGAAGAAACAAATGTTGATGAAATGTATTTGTATTTTAGGATTCCTTTATTCACAGTCATTTTAAATCCCATTACCCTTTGAAATAATTTCACTTCCTATACGTTCCTTCTTGTTGAAGATTAACATTTTTATTGAATCTGGTCTACCAGATGCACACACTGCTGCACAGTTACATCATCCTCACGTTAGCAGACGTGTGTTCAGAGGACTGAATTTCAAATCGCTTACAAAAACGAAACCGAATTAAATTGCTTCAGCGGTATTTCTTTGACATTCCAGTATCACTCTTCGGAGGCCAGTATACTTGGGAATATTCAGAAAATTGATGCAAGTCCCTAGAAAACTAGCTCCAAAATTTTGATTGGCTATTTAGTTATGTTTCCATTTGAAATAAATATAGCAGAAGTCAATTTTAATTGTCTGAAATGAAAAAAATATCCTTAAATATGATGATTTAATGCAGGACAGTACTGGCATGAAGCTGTGGAAGAAACGATGGTTTGTGCTTTCTGACCTTTGCCTCTTTTATTATAGAGGTGAGTATACCATAAACTATATTCTTGTAGTATTTTATAATTGCAATTCAATATATGTTAAGCATTGAATACTTTTTTTTGTTTTGGTGCTTTAGGTGAAACTTTACATAGCAAATTAGTTTCTCTACACAAATTGTTTTGTGGTATTGTTTGCAATCCCCTTGATATGGAAACACTCTTCCCTTCTGTACCCTGATACCCTGTCTCCATCAGTCCATTTTTCCTGTCCCTTCCTGCCTTCTCATCATTGCTTTGGGGCAGGCGTTGCTGTTTTGGTCTTGTATACACGACTGGACTACGAAGCCCATTCCTCACATGTGTTATTGTTTGTTCTATAGACCTGTCTATCCTTTGGCTGAAAGCTGAACTTCAGGAGTGGACACTTTTTAAAGAAACAGTTTTATAACTCTTTTTGCTATTTTATTATCCACAGAGAATATCAAGAAAATCTTTTCCTTTGTAGACATATGATTCTGAGTAATTGAGCTATGACTCGGACAGTTCAGTGCTTTCAAGTAGGTTAGTCTGAGTTTGGTCCAGTTTCTGTAATCTGATTGTGTTAATCTGGTTTGTTCTGTCTAAAGAGCATATGGATCTTTGTAATGCTAGCCTTGAATTCAGTGCCTAGGAGGTAAAAATCATATTAGTTTGATGAGATCCCTTTTATATGTCAGCTTTGTCAACCCTAGCTCTGGGTCACCTAGTTTGGCTCTCCAGCAAATAATTTTAGAGTATCGGAGACTTTTATGGCATATTGGCAAGTGAAAAAGTAAATTGCAGAGAAATGCATTTAGTATGGTCCCATTAAAAATAAATTGCAGAGAAATGCATTTAGTATGGTCCCATTAAAAAATAATAATGGCAACAATGACAACTTTTTCCTTCAAACATGGAGAAAGTTGTGATAGGGCTACATATCAGGCTGTTAATGTTGGTGATGGGAAAATGTATTATCATAGTTATAGACTAGCAGTCTTCATTTCTCCAACATGGATATCAAAAACTCCTATTTTTTTATGTTTTCTAGTTAATACATTATTGATTAATATAATTTTAAAATAAAAGTCCGTAGAAGATTTCTGTTCGTGTGTCACATGGATCTGTGAGGTACGGCATAGTAGGCACCCGAGGATTGAAGGGAGTACACAGGCCCTGCCTCCAGAGGAATCGGCTTCAACGCTGATATAAAATCGTGAATCTGAATAATCAGTCTTTCTTCCCCACTTTAAGTTGTTTGTCTGGTTGGAAACAGTCACTAAAGAATTATATTATAAATAATACATTTATGACTTTTCTAGAGAAGTGTATCGCAAGATGTGACAGCGTTTTAGAGCTGATTACCAGTTTTTAAGTTTACTTTGTGATAACACACAAAAGAACTATGGCAAAGCTCTGTGATTATCTATCAAAGCAGTATAATGCATATTAACTTTTAAATTTTGGAATTACTTGAATTGTATGCATCTTTTTCTTTTCCCTGCAAATTGTGGTTGAGAAATTTTTCCTCCCAGCAAATTGTGGTTCTGACTACTGGGTCAGAATTAGTCAAGCCCATAAAATTTCATTTTGTCATAGAGATGTTGGTCATGCTGCAGTTGTGGTATTATCTTTAGTTAGGTGCCAAGCTTATGCTACAATTTTCCGTAAAGGTTTTCCCACTCTTTCAGAATGTCAGGAGTTGGAACAAGGACGTTATCCCTAAGCTGATAATTTATACTTTTTTCTCTTTTTCAGTTTATTTGTGGGCTATTTAGATCTTTAAATGAGAACAAGAAAATGTTTACTATTTCTAATTTTTTAAATTTCTAATATAAAATTACTTAATGTCATTTGCAACAAAATGAACACTGAAGTCCCTGTTATTTGCTGGTAGTGTTGTTGCTCATAGAAAGGAGCTGCTCACCGCTTTTATTATAATAGAACCTAATTTGAAAAAAATAAAGGTGACCTCAGAAGCCAAGTTGAATATGATATCCTATGTTATTATCAACCACCTGCATTTTGCAGTCAATGTTATTTATTAATTTTAGTACAGTTCCCCAGACCGAAAGAAGAAAATATAGAAGGGAAAGAACTATCATTTAACTCACTTCTGCTCTTCAGTGAGTTAAAAAGAAGTATATACTATCATATATTTTCACTATTTTATCATGAGGAAATGTCTAAAATAAAAACAGTAGTTCACAACCTTTAGTTTTTCGAGAGATAGTTGTAATAGCTTGCCATTTATTGGGCATTTACTTTATGTTGGGCACTGTGTTGAGCACTTAACATAGATTACCTATTTTATTTAAATCTCATAGCCACCTGGCAAGGTAGAAAGTTGTATTATGCCTATTTGAAGAGGAAACCGAGGGACAAAGAGGTGGAATAGCTTCCTCTGAGGTCTTAAAACTAGCAAATGACAGAGCCAGGATTTGAACTGAGGAACTCTGACTCTAGAGCCTGTACTGATATCATTAGTAATAATATTCCAGCCTGTTAGTTATTTCTTTAGCTGTAATCATATGTATTTCATGTCCTGTTAATCCCTGTTCTCTAAACCACGGATTTTTGCCCCCATCCGTATAGCTTCTTCTCTTGTACTTAGAGGACAATGGCCATCCCTTCATTTGTTCTGTATCTCTCAAAACATCTAGTATAACAACAATGTTAATTTTTTGGCAGATTGGTCCATGTTTTATGCAGTAGTTAAGAGCTTGGCTGCTAACCAAAAGGTCGGCAGTTTGAATCCACCAACCGCTCCTTGGAAATCCTATGGGGTAGTTCTGTTGTGTCCTACAGGGTCGCTTTGAGTGGGAGTCGACTCAGTGGCAACGGATTTGGGTTTTTTGGGTCCATGCTTTACAGATATGGAAAATAATACAGCTCATTGTAGGGTTATTAATTGGCCTAATTTCAATATCGTCATGTCTCAGGGGATAGGGAGGCCCGAGAAGAGGTAGAGAGATAGGGTAATGGCCAGTCGGTGGAGCAGTCAACACACGCAACATTTATCTATTAAGTTCGCCATCTTATATGGATGCATTCAGAGTGCCCCTAAACAATTGCAGTAGTACAATAATAACATCAAAGATCACTGATCACAGATGACTATAACAGATATAATAATAATGAAAACGTTTGAAATATTGTGAGAATTACCAAAATGTGACACAGAGACACAAAATGAGCACATGCTTTTGGAAAAATGACGCCAATAGACTTGCTTGATGCAGGGGTGCCACAAAACTTCTATTTGTAAAGAACGCAGTATCTGTGAAGGGCAATAAAGCAGAGTTCAATAAAGCGAGCTTTGCTGGTACTCTAGAAATAAAGGGTGGGAAAATCCCTTGTTAAGTCTATAATAAAATGTGGCAAGCATAATAAAGAGTTATTTCCCATTTATGGTTTTTCTCATGATGGTGAGTTCATCAGCCTGATGTACAGCTTTATTAACTTGTCTTATGGGTATATAAAGATGAAATATATATTTCAAATTTCATAAACATCTCTGCCACCAAGCAGCAAGTTGATACGAATCTATACTATGCCAAGATTAAAGTGTTGTCATTTTCTTAGGTATGTTTTATGGGTTTGCCTTGTAGGCTTGTGATTTATTCCCACAATTTTGTTGTGTATCAGAATGACTGATAAAAACAAACCTTCAAGGTTGTGTTTTAAAAAGCATATAATTTTTATCACATAATTTAAAATATGTGTTCATCTTTATATTCAACACATATTTTTGAGCATATTTTGCTGTTATTCTAAGTGTCTTCACAGAGCTTTCATCCTAGTGGGGAGAGAAAGATGATAATCAAAAAAATAATAACTAAAACATATAATAAGTCAGAGCTATTGGGGCAGAGGGGAATCCCAGAAGGAGAATAGAAAGTCCTGGGAGGAGTTAGGATGGGAAGATGATTTTCAATACCATAATCAGGGAAAGTTTCACTGATGGGATAGTTTCACTGATGGGATATTTGAGCAAAGACTGAAGGATGTGAGTGAGCAGGTCATGCATTTGTCAGGGGTTGGAATATTGTACACTTAATTCCTACAAGAAATACGATGTAATAATTTTTTTTAATATTTCTGTGTCATTACTTAAATGCTAAAATATTTCCAGGGAATCACACGTAAAAGGGCTTTGTGGAATACAGTGTCTGTGCCAAACAAATGAAATGCTGTTTTATATCTAGATTACATTTTTCAGTTTGTGGGAACAATTTCTGATTGGCTTAGGATTGGGGAGCTCATTTAAAGTAAAGAACTTCTGCTATTTGATATTTTCACTTAAAACCTTATACTTGCCTAATATCAACACATGTGCATAATTTCATTTTTACAAAATCCTTTTGATTTAGTCAAAGTAAATTTTGAGAAAATTTATTTTGCTTCATGAAAGCATTTAAAATTCTAATCAAATGTTAAATTATCTCTTAGATGAAAAAGAAGAGGGTATCCTGGGAAGCATACTATTGCCTAGTTTTCAGATAGCTATGCTTACATCTGAGGATCACATTAATCGAAAATACGCTTTTAAGGTAAGGAAGTAGCCACACTTTTTAATTTGAATTATCTATTTGATGCTCGCGTTGATTAAAATGGATATTGATCCATGGATTATTAGAGAGATTTCAGTTATAAACACTTTTATATTTAATATGTCTTAATCAGTGGTGTTATGTTTATGCAAGAGAATGTCACTTTAATTAGGAAGCACACGCTGAAATATGTAGGGCTCAAGTGTTTTCATGTCTGTATTTCTAAATGGCTTAGGGGGAAAATATATATATATATCTCACATATATAGATAAAGCAAGTATGTCAAAACGCTAATAATTGAATTATAGCTGTAGATATCCTGGTGAAAGAGCCCTGGTGGTACAATGGTTAAAGCACTCGGCTGCTAAACAAAAGGTCATTGATTCAAAACCACCAGCCGCTTCACGGGAGAAAGATGTGGCAGTCTGCTTCCCTAAAGACTTACAGCCTTGGAACCCCTGTGGGCCAGTTCTACTCTGTCCTATAGGCTCGCTCTGAGTCAGAGTTGACTTGACGACCGGAGGTTTGGTTTTTTGGTTTTTATCCTAGTGATAATTTTATTATTCTTTCAAGGTTACTGCATGTTTGAAACTTTTCATAATAAATTTAAGGGGAGAGTACTATGAGAGACAACAACTTTGTTTTTTAATATAGTTAATGTGTACGCTTGTGATCTTCTAGAATAATTGGAAAGATGTTCTTGAGTCTAAGCACATCGTTATCATGAGGTATTTTTCAGATAATATTGAAGGTCTGCTGTTGTTAAACCCAAGCAGACCTGATACCCTTTTTCCTAACTACCCACTCATCTCTGTGATATTGCTGGTTTGTGAAACACTCTTTAAGAGGCCACTTTAATGCCAAGCTGGTTTTTTGTTTTCAAATACCATGCTTGCATTCTTTGTGTTATGATTATGGCTAAAATAAAATTAGAGGTGACTTTTTTTTTTTTTAAAGTCAGTGTTAATTAGGAGCTCTAAAGGGTCTACTGTGGAAATTTCATTTTAAGGAAAAGAGAGGAAATAAGGGTAACATGCAGTGATTTCACATACTAGAATTTTTAGAAGGTAGTAATTAAAGATATCGTGTATGTAAGTATATTTTCTCTGTGATTATTTAGCTTAATTTTCGTTTTATTTCGTTTATGACAAGAACAGTAATTTTTGTTTCAAATTCTCTCCTCTGTGGTTTTGTTTCCTCTGAATTTATGAGCCACTTTTACTTGTCAAGTCTGTTGATGTTAACGCTACTGATTATCAAAATGGTAAGTAGAAAATTCTTAGACAATTGTTGATAGTTATTTTGATCACTGCGTTTATTGAATTATTTATACCCTGATTTCTTTCTTAAAAGAATTTGAAGCAGCTAATTTGACATTGTAGATAAGATCTCAGAGTAGAGTGTGTGGTTCCAGGTGTATTCCTCTTACCTTGTCATATTTAGCAGATTAACTGCATACTTTTTGCTCTTCTCTTACCTCATTATGTCTTTGACTGTTTTTCCTTGCCTTTGAATGTCTGCTAGGAAATTGTCACAGGCATTTTTAAGTGGAAATCAAGAGTGTTTGTCCCATGGAATTTCCCACCTCAACCATTTTTTCTTCTCTGACACAGCCACCACTGCTGCCAAAGAGGCCCCTAGATGTGTGTCCGTCATTGCCATGTCAGAGCAGGGTTCAGATGGGCGTCAGTGCTCACACCTGGCGCAGCCGTTTCTCATCAGCATCTTCTTTGTTCTGTCTCCTTTCTGTTTCTCTGGTGTAGAGGTGGAATGAGCCGCCACAAAGAAAAGACATCAAAATGGCTCAACTGCTTACCAGTGATGCAGTCCTCCTTCCTCTTGAAGCCAAAATGTTTACATTCTAACTCTGAAACTTGAAAGGGAAAGCTAAAAGTGAATGCCACTTTAGATCATTTATAAGCCTTGTATATATATAGGTGTATGTTTTCCTCACAAAATAACTTTAGAGACAAAATATTTAATAGCAGCTTCTTTTAAGTACTAAGGAATTGCTAACACAAGGGGGAAATGTTGTGACATGTGCATTTCAATTTTGTTGCTAATTGCTGTGAAACATTATTCTTGAGCAAAGGGATTGTGAATAGCAGTGAATTAAAATTGGTAGGGATGTGAACAGGTAACAGTTGCTTCTAGGTGCTTCATTTCTTACCTTCTTCCCGATCTATGCACAATTTTTTTTTTTACATTTTAGAGTAGACATAACTAAAAGAAAAAGGAGAAAATTATTGCTTATGTCTTTTTCAAGATTAAGTTTTATATTTTTTCTAATGTCATTTCTAAATCTATATATAAAGTCTGCTTTCTTTAAAATTTGGTAGTAATGGTATATGCAAGAAAACCACTTAACTTTTTTCTTTTTCTTTTACAGAGTTCCCTATTTTCGTTTAAAATGATCGTGTCATTTTCAATCAGGCAGCCCATCCAAACATGCGGACCTATTATTTCTGCACTGATACAGGGAAGGAAATGGAATTGTGGATGAAAGCCATGTTAGATGCTGCTCTTGTACAGACAGAACCTGTGAAAAGGTAAAGGCTTGTAGGGAAAATAATGGCAATTGCCACTTACATTTTACTCCATTCCTTGCAAGTATGGCATTATCATAGTACGTATCATTTTAATGGTCATGATATGAAATCGTTTCTTCCTCAGAAAGCAAGGACTCATTCTTGTTCTGTATTAAATTAATATACCTTCAGTTAGTTTTAGATTACAACTACATTTTTTTTTCCACCTTTACTCATTTTCACCTATCAGTATACTGGGGTGAATCTAGAATTCTAACATTCAAACTGAGTGTTCTTTCTTCTTACAGAATTACCTTTAATTTCAGGTAAGTACACTTTTAATTGTTTTCTTAAGCCACAGATTTTTATCCATAAAGGCAGTGCTTTTTAAGATCTTAAATCTTAGAAGAGAATTTATTTTCCTGAAATATAATTTATTTTATACTAGGTTATCTGTTTTTGAAGTTTGACAAATTGCAGTCATAAATTTTCTTCAGTATTTTCTGGTTATTTGATTGTTTTTATGATGAATGTTTTCAGAAAATAGTTCATCAAGCATTTAAATTATTTCTAAGGATGTACCCTTCTTGATGAATTATGCTTTTTTGCTTTTGAAACTCCAGTACTCAGATTCGTTGAAAAAATAGTTACATACTATTAAAATTGTTCTAAGTGTGATTTCTTTCTCTGCTCAAACATAAGAATTATTTTAATATTCTTGTATTATATTAAGAACTAATAAAAGAAAATTTGTTTCTGAAATACATCAATAGAACCTGAGTAACATACTTTTTTTAAAAAAGTCTTTTGGTTTGTAGGTTAAAGGACTCAAGTGGATGCTATACAAGTATGTTGTTGTTGTATGCCATTGAGTCAATTCCAACTCATAACAACCTATATGCCAGAGTAGAACTACCCCATAGGGTGTCCTAAGCTGTAATCTTTGCAGGAGCAGATCGCCAAGTCTTTTCTCCCACGCAGTGGCTGGTGGGTTCGAACCACTGACTTTTAGCCAATGAACGCTTAACCATTGTGCCACCAGGGCTCCTGTATATAAGTACGTTAGGCTTATTTTGTTAAATACTGAGTCCAGATCAACTTAACCTCTCACTGTAATTAGAGCTGGAGAAAAGCAGGGAGACAAAAGAAGAGGACATCCAGGTTTGAACTCTAGGACACCTGTTTTTAAAAAGCCACCTAATCATATGCATATTCTAGATTGAGAGCTAATAAAACGCAAATCTACTCTTGGAACTTCATATGTAAAAATTGCCTGAATGGATTTAAAGGTGAGGTGATTATCAATGGTAACTGGAGAAAACATATAGCTTAAAAAGAACTAATTGAAAATCTTGGGTAATTTTAACTTCAGAACAAATCTCTTAGGGAATTGTTAAGAATACACAAGTCAATGTGATAACTAAAATATTTGATTTCCTGAAAATTTTAGTATTGTATATTGTACTTTTCTCGATTTTGCAACTTATTTCCACTTAGCATTCTAAAAACTAATTAGTATTCATAATTTGGGGTGAGAAAGATGATGGTCAAATTTTGCGTTTGACTCCTGGCAACCTGATAGGTTGATTATATGCTCATAATAATTTTCAGCCAATTGTGTTGATGTAATTTGCTTTGTTAGCCAGTAGTTATTGACTGTCCCCTGCCTTGTGTCAGGCACTGTTGTCCTGTAGAAACAATGTCGTTTATTCTACTGGCTATTGGCATTTTTACCCGCCCTTAATAGTTTTTAGTCATTCAAATTAAAGGCACCTAATTATTGCAATATTTCAGAAGTATGGGGGGTGGTTTATTTGTCTAGTTTCAAGGTTATAGCTTCTCGTTCCTGAGTGGTTAGAATACTTACAAATATTTAATAGTGTATACCATCTACAAGTTAAAACATCCAGCTTTTTATTTGATAGTTCCTTTCTTCTAAATTCATAAAATATTTCATCTGTGAGGTAGAATATCGAAGTCCCTTACTGTGCATATCATTGATGGCATAAAAGAAATTTAATCACAGTATACCTTCTCTGAATAATTTCTGTCTGCAACCTATTTTAATTTTTTGGTATTTAAGTATATTTATTGCAATAATTTAAAAATATCTTTTAAAAAATTAGATCACAAGCTTTACATTATTTATATTATAGTAGCATAATTTCTGGAGCCCTGGTAGCGCAGTAGTTAAGACCTACAGCTACTAATCAAAAGGTCAGCAGTTCAAATCTACCAGCCGCTCCTTGGAATCCCTATGGGGTAGTTCTGCTCTGTCCTGTAGGGTCACTATGAGTTGGAATCAACTCACCAGCAATGGGTTTAGCATAATTTCTGAATGAGTTTTGTTCCATTTAGAGAAAAGTCAGTGTATGTGTCATTCTACTTTATATTTCTTAAATGATAAATTCTTAGAAAAATAGAGAAAAAAAGGTATTGCTACTCTAACCCCCTTCTCATATTTAGGAAAAAGGATAAATTTTCTTTTAAAGTAAATTTTCAGTGACTTTTATAAGCTCTACAGTATAATTTTTAAGATATCATTATTTCCTGCCACAGCACCAAAGTCAGCAAATAGTTTTATCCACTGCTGTTTAAGGGCATCTCAGTTCTTCCCCACAGCATTTATGGTAGCTAGATTATGGGTATGTCAGAAAATTGGTATAAACTGACAGGTTAAATTTAAATCCCAGCATATGCATAAAGAACAAGTTATTGCTTGGATAAAAAAACCAAAACCCATTGCCATCAAGTTAATTCTGACTCATAGTGACTCTGTAGGACAAAGTAGAACTGCCCCATAGGGTTTCCAAGGAGTGCCTGGTGGATTCAAACAGCCAACCTTCTGGTTAGCAGCCTGAGCTCTTAACCACTACCCCACCAGGGTTTCCATTGCTTGGATAGTGGTTCATAAAGTATATACTTCATCAGGGTGGAAGCATTTGATTTGAAATCTTTAGTCCAGATTCCTAGCTAAGTACTCTCCAAAGGAGATAAGAATTTACTTGAATGCATTTGACTAAACACTTTAGGCATGGCCAAAGGAAAATATTATCAAGGAAGCAGGCATTAATTAATTTTCTCTTTCAAGAAAAAGAAGCGCCTCAACCTATCTCAGTAAACTTTCTCAGTGTCGAATATTGTTTCTACTCTGGAAGCTGTGGTTTATATCTAACCTAAATCATTCTTGCTACCGTTTAGTCTTATTTTTATTTCTTCTCTAGTAGTATTTGAAAATGAAAAATAATGGTTCATTGGATAGTCTTTACCTTTTACTCCTAGAAAAATAATGACATTTCTTTTCATCTTTTCCTCACCGATCATATTTCAAACTAGCACGCACACATACACCCCTAAAGTTGGCTCCAGTACCATACTTAGGATGTGATTGAAGCATTATTGTGTACTGAAACATGGAGAGGGCTCCCAGAGTGACATGATCTTTGCAAGTTCTGAACAAGCTGAGTTCAGACACTCAGCTTGATCTTGTCAGGGCCTGGCTCAGAAAGCTGATTCTCATCAAAAAGACCTAGATGTAGCAACTGGAATGGTGATATACAGTAAGCAATAAAACTGTCAAGTGGCCCAGACACACACTTCTAACTAGCACATTCTTCTGGTGGGCAGATGTACCTGGGATGCGAGATTCCAGTCCAAAGGTTGCTTGATGAAATAAGGATGAATGATGGTAACAAGGTCTGTGCTGGGCACTGATGAGCTCATCTGGGCTCCCAACAACCCCCTGACCTTGGTGCTGTGATTATCCCCATTTTACCAAAGAGGAAATTGAGGCGCTGTAAGTTTCTGTACCTTGCCCAAAGACATAGCTAGTAAGAGGTAGAGCTGCGATCTGGATGTAGACAGTGTGGTGCTGAGAGCTCTTAACCCATCCTCAGCTGCCTCTTGAATACAAACCTAAAGAGTTAAGCTAGTTAGTCATACGGTTCAGATCTTTGATCACATCAGACTGTAATTTCATGATGAAGTCATTTCCACAGATCAGACTCTTATTTGTCTCATGATGAATACTCTCCTGCAAGTGTGGATTTTACGGTTTAACTGTCCAAGGGCCTTCTTATTTGCCTTATTCCCAGATTTACAATGGTAGAGGCACACATCACTTTTTATCCTTTAAGTACTTCGTACCCTACGTATTTTGTGTTTTCTTTTTCTTTTTTCTATTTATACATTCTGGTATTGGGCTTAAATTTTAATACCACAGCATTGGGGATTTGTATATACTTGTCTCTGTGACCCTCTCAGTTTTTTTTCTTAAAGTCAAAGGTAATTTCATATATTTTCTAGACTGAAACTCAGAATTATCATGGCATTATTTCATCTGATTTACTATGATTTTCTTCTCTGATTTCAGAGTGGACAACGTTACATCTGACAATGTACCAACTAAAGAAATCAATAATATTCCCAACCATAGAGTGCTAATTAAACCAGAGGTCCAAAACAACCACAGAAACAAAGAAATAAGCAAAATAGAAGAAAAAAAGGCATTAGAAGCTGAAAAATACGGATTTCAGAAGGATGGCCAAGATAGACCTTTAACCAAAATTAATAGTGTAAAATTGAATTCCCTGCCGTCTGAATATGAGAGTGGGTCAACATGCCCAGCTCAGACTGGACACTACCGGCCAGGCAATGTGAATAGTTCAGACAACAAAACAGTCAATGTTAGCCTGGCAGATCTTAGAGGTGGAAGTCACCCAAATACAGGACCCGTACACACGGATGCTGATCGAGTCATACAGAGAACCAATTCAATGCAGCAGTTGGAGCAGTGGATTAAAATCCAGAAAGGGAGGGGTCATGAAGAAGAAACCAGGGGGTAAGTGTCTTGTCATTATGCTTTGTGAACCCAAGTTTATTTCAAGCTACACTGGTGAAGATTGATTTTCAAGCTACCAATTAGAAGTATTGGTTTAAATTGTGTTTTAGATATTACGGCTTCATTACTATATCTTTTGTTCATGGTGATTAGATGTAAGCATTTCCTCTCTGTCCGCCATTACTCTGTCACCCAACTTACTAATGGCAAGGACTCATTCAGCACAAGGGAAAACTTAGGTTGTAAATAGAAATTAGGTTTGTTTGGGATGAGAGAGGTAGCAAGACCTACCCCCATAACTTGTCCATCTTACCCCCCATCACTACCACCTTCTTCTAAAATTATGATTTAAAAAACAAAAAAAACCGTTGTGTCGAGTCAACTCCAACTCATAGTGACCCTATAGGACAAAGTAGAACTTTCCCATAGGGTTTCCAAGGAGTAGCTGGTGGATTCGAACTGCTGACCTTTTGGTTAGCAGCCGAGCTCTTAACCTCTGCACCACCAGGGCTCCAGAATTATGATTAGCCAGTTAAAACTTGTCTCCATTGTCCCCATGGCCCCACCCTGGCTGTCTTCTGTTAGCAGCTTCTGCAGCTTAGTGCAACGCAAGGATCCCATGAGACAAGTTATGTAGAGACAGTGAGGGCTTACTGCTCTCTAGTTCCCAGTCTCTTTTCTTGGCTTTATTAAAACCAGAATGCACATGACTAAATATTAAATCTGTTCATTCAAGCATTCATTCATACACACTCTTGTTCTTTCGTATGTTTATTGTACAACTACTGCATGCTAATCACAGAGCCAGAAAATAAAACAGTGAAAAGATATATTCCAAATTCTTACTAAGGTTATTGTCTGTTGTCTAGTTGAGGAGGTGGTTGGATAAACAAATGCATGTCCTATAACAATAAATACGATGAAGAAAGGACAGGGTGCTGTAAGAACACAGGTCGGGGACAACCAACACGGTCTAAGGTTTCAGGAAAACCTTTCTGTAGGAATCGAGATACAAGCTGAGATAGAAAGAACGGTATGCATATCTTGGCTTAGGTACACAGGGCACCAGAGTTGATAGCTGGGACTCAGAAGAAATCCAGCATGGCTTGGGTGTAACTGCTGTGATGGTGGGTGAAAAACAAGGATGGAGAGATAAGCCAGAAAAGATTTATTCTGAATAGTGTTTCATAAGATCACTCTGGCTACAGAATCTGGAGAATGAATTGGAGAAAGTTCAAACGTTATTGGAGTACTTGAAATGGGGAGAGGACAGGGATGTATTCAAGATATAATTGACGAGACTAGTTGATTGCTTAGATGTGCTTGATTGCAAACCAGTCTCACTCAAGACTTACTTGAGTGATTGGTAGAAATCAAGAGATACCTTGCTTTTTGACCTGAACAGCTAGGGTTGTCTGATACGTTTCACCACATAGAGAAGATTTGGGAAGAGAGAAAGTAATGAATGGTTGAGGTCCCTGTGAGTGTCTCCAAAGAGAGATCTAGACTTGAGTACAGTTAGTTTGGGGAGTCATCAAAAGTAATTAAAGCTAAGGATAAGAATAGATAAAATCATTCAGCTGGGAGACTGGGTAAAAGAAAAATGTCGAGGGAAAACCTAAAACAAGATCTGCATTTAGGGAATAAAGTGGGGAGGGGCTGTGTGTTGCAAAGGAGACCAAAAATAAAGGCCAGAGGAATTGGAGGGTGAGAATACAGGACCCCTGCATAGATAAAAACTAACCTAAGAGTTATTGTAACTTTTACCTGTCAGTAGTAGAAAACCAGAAAACGGTGTCGTTAATAGTGTTTTGATTAAACAAAGAATAATTTAATAGGGAAACTTGTGAAGTATAGGAATGTTCTTCTAGTTTTACTCAGTTCTGATGGCTGACATCAGTAGTTGTTAGCCAGAGTTTCGACTGTCTTCTTTCACGAGTGCAGCTCAAAAGCGTCAGTACACTTGGCTTCATCTCTTATCTCTCCAGGAGCCTCCTGGCTGTGGTGTTCAGCTCCACTCGCTTCTTCTCCATTCTCAGTACTCACTGTTCTAATTTTGCCAAGCAACAGCTGTAAGAAATATTTGCTATTTCAGAAATAAAATTTCATTACACAGAAAAGAAGCCAGATGTAAAAATAATGAAAGGATGTTTGGAGGTACTGCTTAATTAATCACTTTCAGGGAAATAATAAAAATCCAAACCGAAAGATTTGCTGAATTTCTACCCAGCAAATTAAATTTCACTTCAAAATGGAATCACTCTGCCTCAAGTAACATCATACTTTAAGAGTATATGGTTAGGGGCTTCAACAGATATCTGGAGATTAGCTTTTTTTTTTAATTGTTAAGCATAAATGTTAGTTTCCAAACATACATGTAGGCTTTCTGTGACTTTTTTCTTTTGAATGCTGGCTAGCAGCTTCTGAAGGCTGATCTCAAGTTATTTTGAGCTAAGGTTTTCTCTGAGTTCTTCCTCCATCTTTGAGTTCACTGTGATGCCAGTTTGCATAAATGCAGTTAGTTAGATGTTCTTATGACATAGCTAGAGTCCAATTTATAAACTTCCTAAATATAGTTGCTTTTTATGATGTAATTTTTTTCATTGGTGGAATGAAGCGTAATTGTAATTCATGGTATCATTCATTAAAAAATCTTTATGAAAGGCTTTCTTTTCTTGTTGAAGTTCTAATAGAAAGAAAAGAGGTTAAATGTTTAGTCAAATAGTAGATCCCTGCATCTGTGGACAAAACTTTAAAGTTTCTTTGTGAGTGGCAGGCATCGTTAAGACGCGTGGTACCTTAAGCCATTGTTCTGCATGGCAGACTCACAGGGACAGGGTTTTCATGGTGTTTGACAGGCAGCTGCTGGTGAATGGGACACTCAACCTGAGAAAGGAGCTTACAGTGTTCATTTCTTAAGCTTTCACTTAAAAGTGAATCACACTTCGCTTAATTTGAATATCTTTAGGGAAAACCACTGAAGGAAGTTGTGGTTTTTTGAAAACCAGCTCTCAGAATGCTAGAAAGCATATGGGATAAAAATAAATTTACTTGATAATACCCTAATTTTTTTTTCACTTTTTTTTTGTCATGCATCAGGTGAAAGTTTACAGAGCAAATTTGTTTCCCATTCAATAGTTTGTACATAAAGTGTTCCATAACATTGGTTTCATTCCCCTTAACCTAATTTTCTATTAAAAATACCAAAGATGGCAGAAGAGCCTTTTAAACTTTCTAGTCATTAATTCACCAAACTCAGTAGAAAAATAGCTTACCTTTAATTACCATGTGATGCGTTGGCAGCTGAAGTTCAATATACATCTCTCCGACAAGAACCAGCTCATATTCTGTATGCTTTCTGTTATAGAGGGTGAATGCTTCCACAGCCAGGACCCACACAGGTGTTTGGTGGGGTTCCGTTTTCTGAGCTAGAATTTAAATATTAATTTAGAGGCAGTTTTTAGTGTTTTGACAATGTGTGTCCCTCCCTTATATGATTATAAATGATCTTTGCCTTTTTAAATATTCCCAAACTGGATACAGAGTTAATATTATTTATATTATCAATACGTGTTTCTATGATATAGTTTAGTGCCAATCAGAGTCTTTTGCTAAGGTCTCTATAATGTATCTTGAATTTATGGATGACCAAATAAGCCACAATACGTCAGGATAAATTTCTTTAGAACCAGGACAGAGTCTCTTGTTGGAATCTACTTCCCCTGGCTGACACGCTTCCTAAGCAGATAGCCCTGGTGTTGCCAACTCTGAACTTTTTCAGTTTCTGGCTTTCATGTCAACAGAGAAGGTGGGGATAGGGAAGGATACCAAACAGGAAGGAAAAAAAAAAAAAGGGAAATATTCATGGAGGGAAACCAGCAAGCGATTGAACTCTTTATATTGGTTATATCCGAATATTAGGTGCATTTTTCCGCCATCTTTCCCTCAAGGTTGTCAGATGGTTGGTCTAGATGGTTCTTGGCCAGGGGTATTTTGTTCAATCCTGACCTAACCTGGTTTGAGTAGGGAGATTGCACCTGAAGAGCAACCAGGAGGGTGAAAGAAATTTTATTTAGAAGGAATGGTTGAAGGAAATGGAAATATTTAGTTTACAAAGTAAGGCAGGGAATTTTAGATCTTTAAGATACCTTAGTGACCAAATTGTCTACTAAATGATAAACTAAAGCCCAAAATGTTTCAGTCGACTGGATTTTGATAGCATATGTAGTGAGTTTATTCAGATTAAAGGTCTCACTACCACTCTTAAGATTATACCCTTCCTAATTTTTTGCTGTCTTTATTTTTAGTTAAATGATTATGATAGAAGAGTAAGTTTTTTTCCAGTGGAGATGCTAGCATAAAATGAATACCCGTAATTTAATCCTGCCCTTTTTAATCTAGATTTTGTTGTGGTTGTTAAAAAAAGGTTATGTTGTAGATTGTAACTATACTATCTCTAAAGAGGATGTGGAAACACAAATATTAACTTATAATAGCGTTTTTATTGACTTTTTAAAATAATTTTCATGTAATGTATTTGACCTAGCATGAGGTTAACACAAGGATAGTTTTGATAAACTCAAGAGTGTGTTTATCAAAATGTTAAAAAGAAAAGTTGTGAATTGAAATTATTTCATTTTTCTATTTTAAGAAACCAAAATAATCTGTGTTTAGTAATGTGCTATTATGTATCCATATCAAGAAACAGGCATTTTAAAAGAATTTTATTTTGAATGCTTGATAGATATATAAGGAATTTTTAGATTGCTTTGAACCACCCCTACCCCACAAAAAAATGTTGAAACCATTCATTTAAGTGGAGTATTCATCTCTATGATGGAGACTACAGAATTCCTGAGATTTGCAGTTTCATATCTGAAATATTTTCATGTTAAGTGTTTTATCTTTATGTAATATTTTCATCCTTCAATTTTTTCCAAGTTCAAAAAGGTTATCAAGGGACGTTACTCCTTCAAATCCAAACTGTGCTGATGTACTTCCTCGCATAAGTAGACATGCATTCTGAAGGAAATGGTACAACAGTGTAGTCAACATATACCTGTGATAACTTTATCTTCATGCTCCACAGACAGAACTCAAAAACTTCAGTATTCCATCAGTACCCAGAACTCTTAATTAACTGTTCTAGTGAGATATGTGAAAATGAGATTCTGGAAGTTTCTTTATATAAAAATGAATAAAATATGAAGATAGGCTTGAGATTAGATCTTGAACATTCTGATTTTTTAAATGAAGTGTAGTAAACATTCTTCCTTCTTTAAGCCACACTATATATTGTGTGGAGTTAATAGTCTTTTATGTAATTGATATAATTAAGCCTATCAAATTGAATTTCATAAAAATTAAAATCTATTAATTAATAATGTATACCTTGTATAATATTTTGATCTTTTAAAAAAAAAGTCCTAGCACACACTACAGGGGAAGTCAGCACAACTGGACTAAACCAAAACTAAGAAGTTTCCTGAACACAGTCAAACACTTTGAGAGACAGAGTAGCAGGAGTAGGGGTCTGGGGCACCATGCTTTCAGGTCAGTTGGCATAACAAAGCTTGTTAAGAAAATGTTCTGCATCCTACTTTGGTGAGTGGTATCTGGGGTCTTAAAAGCTTGTAAGTGGCCATCTAAGATGCATCAGTTGGTCCCAACCACCTGGAGTAAAGGAGAATGAAAAACACCAAAGACACAGGAAAGTATTAGCCCAAGAGAAAGAAAAGGCCACATAAATCAGAGACTTCATCAGCCTGAGACCAGAAAAACTAGATGGTGCCTGGGTACCACCACTGACCGCCCTGACAGGGAACACAACAGAGGGTCCCTGATGGAGCAGGAGAAAGGGGGGGTGCAGAACTCAGATTCTAGTAAGAAGACCAGATTTAATGGTCTGACTGAGACTGGAGGAACCCCAGAGAGCATGGCCCCGGGATTCTCTGTCAGCCCAGAGATAAAACAATTTCCGAGGCCAACTCTTCAGACAGGGATTGGACTGGACTGTGGGACATAAAGTGATACTCGTGAGGAGT